ATAATTAAAACGGAACAGTAGAGAAAATCCGATCAGAATGACAAAATAAACTAAGCATCCACTGGAAGGAATCCCAATATCTGCAGACGGATCTGTTTCGGCCTTCCAGGCCTCATCGGTGCAGCTAGGGTATAGACCCAAACGAAACGTTCGACCAGCTTAGGTAGGGCCCAAACTAGTCCCACGACCACTAATGATTACAGAGCCAAACCAAGGCAAAAATGTTTGGATGTGCTTCAATGCCAGTTACACCATCATTATCATTCAGTGCCCTACTATTAATCGATTAGAAAACCTGCCGATTAAATTGTAGAAAATAAAATGGTATTTATCAGTTACATAGACGTTATCTTAATTTTTTATAATCATTAGGTTAATATGGTAAACATTGTTTTCTTACAGAAATTTTCATTAAAATTTTTTTAAACTAGAAATTGTATGTGAAAAGTATGATGTTTTAGGTTTTTTCCCCTATTATTTTTGTTTTAGTTGTTTATTTTTTCGAATTCTTGGGTGCTACGTTCTTCGTTGAGCGTTATATGAATGCTCTGAAATAATACTAATAATAATAAAAATATTGAAAATATTATCGTCTTTATTATTAATAAGATTAATAATATAGTAACAATATCAATAACAAAATAACAAAAACAGTAGAATTAGCAAAAATAATAGTAGTAATAATAATAATATCAAAATTAACAATACAAATTCTAATAATAGTAATAATAATAACAATAATAATAATAATAATAATAATAATAATAATAATAATAATAATAATAATAAAAGGTCAAATGATATTAATCTTAATAATATATAATATGCTAAAGTAAAGAAAATAATAATAATAATAATAATAATAATAATAATAAACTAGACCAAAACTTATACCAATATGCAATTTAATTTCTTCTGACCACATGATATTTCCTTTTCCGCTTCCTTGATTGGTTTGTGATTTAATGCCCTTCCTCAAGTATTGTCCAGAAATTGGAAAAATTCCAACCAATAGCCAGTTTGCATAGGAGTATATTTTTTCTTACACCACAATTTTTTTGTGTGGTATAATACGTATCTCGAACAGCTTCCGATGGTAAGTTGAAACCAGGAAATTAGTCATATGTATTTTATTAAAATTCTAATTACTAGAAAGTCTACATCGTACTTTGAATGAAGGATCAATTCCTCTCTGCACTACCTGCATGTTTTTACTTTTACATTTCACATGAGCGACATGAGATAGCAACTCCTGAATAGCTTTTGTGGTGAAAACATTCAGTGATTTCAGGCATAATTGGCCTCTGTTTACTGATGGCTTTTCAGCAAAAATAACTATGAAAGAAAACCATATTATTATTATTTTTATTATTATTATTATTATTATTATTATTATTATTATTATTATTATTATTATTATTATTATTATTATTATTATTATTATTATTATCATTATTGTTATTACTATTATCATCATCAAACTATTTTCAATTTTTAAAATGTTTCTAAATTGTTTCCACATCATTCCAACACGCGCATATCAATAATATTAATATAATTATTATAATGATTGTTGTGGTTGTTGTTACTGCTGTTAATACAGTATTATCATAGTTTTAGGCGAACAGTTTCTACGCAGTTAATGGGTATCTCGTGAAACAAAATAAAATGATTTTAGACAGATTAATATTTAAGAAACTTGCGGTAGGCCTATGTGCCTGTATACCTGTGTACCAATGGTAAATTATGAAAAAACCGTAAAGAATACGGGTTGTGGGTAAATTGACCCCTAACTGCCGTATGTCTGTACGATAGTTATATTTTCCTTATGAAGCAGATTTCAACACGTAACCGATAACGGCAGCTAGCTCAATATCGTCTTGATTAACTAATTAATTGACTAATTGAGTGCCAATTGAAAAGGATGTATAGTAAAGCAAAACTGCAGTACGGTTTAGAGTTTAGCAATTTTATAATTTATTTTGAAAGTGTCTTTTCGGAGACCCTAAATTTGTCATCAATGCCGTAGCCGGCTTTTGGGACAGTTGGGACAGTCCCACATAATTTTTCTATTGGGTCCACAAAGAATGGGTCCACATTTTAAAAAATGGGTCCAACTTATGTAATTTTATACATGAAAAATGTCTACTTTTTGAAAAATAGGTCCAGATTTCTCATATTTAGCTTAAAATGGGTAACATTTAAGAAAATAGGTGCAGATTTTTTATATTTTTTCGTTCAATGGGTCCACATTGTTTGAATTTACACGTAAAGCGGGTTCATTCTAATATTTTCCCGCACTTTTTTGAAAATCGTGGCTACGGCATTGGTCCTCATTGGACATTTTGTGGAGATTTGCTGATACTGTACTATATAACCATGGAGAAAATATTTCTCACTGCTATTTAACTAATTAAGCAGAACCACAAGGGATGCAAAACTGTCAAATTTTTGCCTTTCACCACTAAAATAATTATGGTCATATAATGTTTTTCAAGGACTTTTTTGCCGCTTTCTTAACCTTATAGTTCGAGGAGCAGTCGTCTATAGACCCTTGATATTATCAAGGTCGGGGGTGTTAGCTGGGGGAAGGGTTTCGGCCGCACCCCCTCCCCACTCTCCAAGAAGGCAAACAAGTTCCGCTAGGGTATGCAGGCCTACCAGAATGCTACAATTAAACATTTGCGAGCAGCAAGTACAACTCGAAGCCAATAAAACTACAATTATAAACCTATGATA